AATGTTACAATAATTTTGAAATTTATTGAAAATCTATCCTATGCAATCGTTTATTCCAAACAAAAATTAAAATCGACCTTTAGTCTTAAAATTCTAAGTACGACTAAATTTTGTACATATGAATAAAAATCAAGAAATAATAAATTAAGCGATAAGTATCAGAATGAAGTTAATTCAATAAGCCGTACCGATTCGACACTCGCGGTCGCATACACTTTTCAATTTGCTTCCAACGGAATTACATATCGCTAACCTCGCGACCAGCTGTGCCGTCAGAATCAGGTAGACTGGGTGCTGGAACCCGAGCCCTTACGGTAATATTCTTGGGTCGCTTTCTTTGGCACGGTCGATGTAATTACGATCCCCTGTATTCCAAGATTTTTGTTTCGACCTTTCCTCTTGTGGCCAGTGGAGAGCGCTGGCTCCTTTAGGGATTTTTAGATGCCTTTACTCACCGATGGTTCCAATGATGATAATAGGGTTGGTGTTGTTTTGGTTTCCTAACGTGTCGAATGTCTTAGGCGGAAGTTTTCCCCGTACTGAAAGCTTCCTAGCTCTTGGTGTGTCTCCCTGTTGCTGGAAAGCTCTTGTTATTACATTGATCCTCATAGTTAGTCTGATCAAGAAGTTTGCGACTCCGAGATAAATCGTATTTGGCAGTGAATGTGTGCGCAGCAGGTAAATCAATCATTTCCAGAGAGCATTGAAATTTAATAAAATAAGCATAATTTTTCACCAAATGTTCAGATAAATAAAGTCGAAAGAGAATAAAATCAAAAATTCAATTAAAATTTATAAAAATGTTGTTTTTCCATTCTTAGGCAATTTGTACATATACACACACTTAACCTTGAAATTTTACCATTATATAACATTTTTTTTTATAATTATCAATTAATTAATAGGTGGGTACGTACATTTTATCATTCTACACTTATCGTTATCGCTACTAACATTTGAACCAGATTTATTCCTACGATTAGGTGACAATTTACTAAAAGATTATGCAATTAAAGGTATAAAGATAACGTAAATAACAATGGGAACAAGTTCAATTAATATTGGAATTTAAAATTATAATGAAATTATGAATTTATATATACAAAAAATATTTTCCATAAGGGTCTACGTAATTTGCGTAAAATCAATAAAATAATTATAATTTTATTTTCAAAAAAAAAAAATAGTCATAAATAAAGTTTTGAAAATTTTTATTACAACTATAAAATTCTTTTCTTTAAACTGATCAATCATGGAATATCAATAATGAAAGTTCAAAATCGCAAGTGTTGAAAGATTGAGAAAATTTGATTAATGAATTTATGGTGATACGAGTATCGTAAAATTATTATGATTTTTATATACATACGATTGATACGATTTTTAGTGTCGTGATTGTAGTTGAATATAGTTGGTTTATTAACTTTATTCAATATTGCCCTACTTTTATGTTATGTACATAAAACCATGTACAGTCGAACAAGCTTATTTGCAAGACGCCTATGTGTAATCAAAACTCCTTCATATACAATTTGCATACATATAAGTTTTCTAATGAAAAAGAAAATAGATAATTGCACAATACGAATATATGCACAAATATTCTATCCGAAAGAGTGTGCATATAAGCGCGTTCCACTGTATGACAAAAACTGATCAAATTCATTAATAGAATTATCAAAAATTAATTGATAATTCTATTTAAAAGTAGCTATACTTTTTTAAAATTTAAAAAGTTATTAAAATCACATAATTAAAATATTATGATTTTAAGAGGTAGGTGTAGCATAAACAATAATAATAATTTCATTTTAATTAATTATATAAATTATAACAGTTTGTAATCTATATTCTTACAATTCCGACAAGTTAATTTCAATAATTTGTTATTTCATTTTTTTTTGCGTTTATAATAAATCAATATTGTTTGTAGATAAAAGGAATGCGTTAATCCCCATTTAAGAAATAAACTTTACCGCTTTAAAATTGCAAAATCAAGGTGAGAAAACGAAAATTAATAGTATAAATTTTGAAAAGTTTAAATTAAAAAAGTTTAAGATTATAATAATTGCATTATTATGATTACACTTCTTAACACTATTTATGTCCGTATCAATGTATGTTCGGAAGGTATTATAAATTTGTTATTAAAATCCCGCTCATGGGAGCACCTAACTTCCACGAATTCTCTAAATCGCACTCTGTCTTTTCTAAAATCTTTTGTCTATGCTTTGTTTCGTTTGCTGCAACACCTGCAACGCTGCTGCCCAAGTAGTTGAATTTGGGTACGTCTTCAATTAGACTGTTGCCTAGTTGAAGGAACGTAATATTCAATTGTATTCAATCTATAGTGGTTGAACTAACTCCCAAAATTACGTATTACAAAAGCAATTTTACCATCTAGATATAAATATGAACATTTTCTCCCAAAAATTGAATTTAAATACTTCAATGAACAATTCAAGTGTATGAAAAGTTTAAAATGAAATAATTATTTGTAAAAACTAATTATTCTGTAAAAAATAATTTATAGTTAATTAAAAATAATTTACAATTATAATTTCCATTAAGCTTATCTTAAGCTGTTTATAGCATGACTCGAACGCAAATTAAATTTTCAATCACATTTTTTTTTTTTTGTTAATAAAAGCTTTTGAACAAAAACTTATCACTAGATGCACCTGTATATGTTACAACTACACTTCTATGTGTTATACATATCTATATAACAGTTTTAGTGTTAATTATATTTAAAATAACTACTTTACCTATTAAACTTCACTTACACATTTTTATTAAAAGTTTTTGTTTATGACGTACTAAATTGCGAATTGAAAATCAGGGCCAAATTAAAAAAAAAAAAATTTTTTTGTCGTCACTTTTTTTTTCTATTTTATAATTCCTCTCAATCGCAGCAGCGCAGCGCTATATTGAATTTTAATCACGATTTTAATAACAGTTTATAAATTTATGTTTTTCATTCAACACGTTAAAAACACGGTAAACTTTCGTTCGCGTAACGCTTTATTATTTAATTTTTTTTTCTGTTTTTTTTTGGCGATTTACAAATAAAAAAAAAAAAACGTAGATAGTAAAAATTAGTAAACTGAAAAAAAAAATTTGTTTTTTTATTGAACTTTAGTAAAATTAGCGATAAAAAAATATACTTAGTAAATATTAGGAAAGCGACAGCTATAAATAAATTATGTATAAAATTGGATTTTACGATTACAAATAAAAGAAATTTAATCGTAATTATAAATTTAAAAAAAAAAAGTATGTATGTATGTGTATGTGAGCGCAATTTAATTCAAAAATATTAAAAAAATAATTTATGTTCGCTTACTTAAATAATTTTGAATTTTTTTTTGCAAATAAAATTTAATTTTTAATAATTTTTAACCTGCAATAACTTATATACTAGCATTTCTAGTTTGCATTACTAGAAGAATACTACCTGATATACTACCTTTGAATACTAGAAAATATATTTGTTCGTATTACGTTGTATAATTAAGTTTTAGATGTCAAATTAATTTTGTCAAAATAACTTTGAAGAATGTAAGCTGTTTTTACATTACATAAAAAATATTTTTTTTCTTTTAAATTATATTTAAATTAGTTTCACTTTTTGATTCATTCAGAATATTGTTATACAAAATTTATTCTCTTATATAACAAAATGCTTTTTCATTTTTTATACCCTTACGAATATACATATGTTTGAAGGGTACACTAAATTTGTCTTACCGTTTGTAACTGATTCTAAATTTGTCTTACCGTCGAATTCTGAGTCGATTTAGCTTTGTCTGTCTGTCCGTCCGTCCATCCGTTCCAACAATAACTCAAAAATTAATTTAACTAAGTTCAACAAATTTTCACAAATGATTTATTATAGTAAATTCCAGAACCCTATTTGAATTGGATATGATCGGGGTACTGGTTACGGTAGCTGCCATACGACTTCAAAATTTATTTAACTATATTAACCTGCCATATTGAAATTTCACGCAAGCAAATATGTTAGCAGCGCTACAAGTTCAAAAAATTAATATGGTAACACGACAACTTAAAGTCATAGTCTGTCCTATAGTGTATTAGATATGGCATACTTATTCGAACATAGGAATTCGTATACGGGTATCACAGAGTTGACACGGTTAACTCTATTTTTTCTCGTTAATTTCTAAAAAAAATATTAAAATTAAAAACGCTTCTTAAATTATGGTGATGAATATTACCAGAATATGTGAGTCTGTTGCTTAAAAATATGCTGGATACATTATTATTCTTTTATTTTAAACACAATAACTTAAACCTTGAGCAGGATGTCTTCATTAACTGATAAACTGTTTATATTGGATGCTATAGTCTTTCACAAATCGTGCTAGAAATAAATCAAGCAAAAATTAATTTTGTGAATTCAACTATATGTAAGAAGAAAATTTTAACTAATGTGAACTTCAACAATTTTTCCAAAATTAATTATCAGATTTCAAATTAAATTGTAACAGATATTTAAAAGGAAATTTAATTATTAGAGGAAAAAATTCATTTCGCTACAAGTTCAAAAAACTTTATTCAATGTCGCCAATTTTTTTTTGCGAAATTAAATCGATATCATAATATAAATACCTAAAATTATCTATAATAACCTTGAATATAATTTAAAAATTTGTAAATGAAATCGAATGTACAAGTAGATAGACTTGGGTATACGGAATAAATCTAAGAAAAATTTAAGTTAATGAAACGTGACTCCTTATATTTTATTAGCATAAACAATTAATTTGTTATTCTATTTTACGGTATATACAAATTAACAACTTCAAAAAGAATGTAAAATAGTAGTTAAAAGGAAAATTTACTGTTTTTATTGTTACTATTACTATCGAGACTTAGTTGCTATAAATTATAGATTTTGTAAATTTTTATTTTGTTTTTTATTATTAAAATACTTTAATAATTTAGTTTTGATTTTAATTCTAATATAATTTTAGAATCATTTGAATCCTGTACACGAAACCTACTACACCTACCTATATTGAAAAGGTAAAAGAATTTTTATATAAGAATTTTTGCAAAAAATAAAACTAAATTCAATGACATTGAATGAGAACAAAGAAAAATTGCCGGAAATCAATGACAACAATAATAAACGTGATAAAAAATCAATAAAAGTCAAAGATCCAGAATTATGGAGAGATTTATTAGCATTTTGGATATTAGGTTTATGCAATAATTATGGTTATAAAGTAATGTTAAGTGCTGCACATGATATTATTGGAAAATTTGATGAACATGTATAAATATTTTCATCTTTAAAATAAATTTATTTAAAATATTTTATAAAAATCATTTAATTTTAGGGTGATGTTAGTGAACAAAATTTAGAAAATAGTAGACAATGTCATTTGATGTCGACTGGTGCAGTACTATTAGCTGATATAATTCCTTCACTTATTGTAAAATTATCGGGACCATTTTTACCATTCTGGGTCAAGTAAGTTCTAAAATTGTATATTAATTAATATAATTAAAAATATTATTTATCAATTTATCTTACAATATTATTTCCAAACATTTTCCACATAGTGTTCGAATTTTATTAGCAATATCACTTACTGTTGCTGGTTTTTGTCTTGTTGGTTTTGCACAATATCAATGGATGGCACTTTTTGGTGTTACACTTATTTCAGCATCAGCTGGACTTGGTGAATCAACATTTTTAGCATATTCATCGCAATTTAATAGGTTAAATGAAATTTTTTGAATTTTTAATTTTAAATAAAATTAATTTATTCTGAGAATAGAAATGTTGTATCTACATGGTCATCTGGTACTGGTGGTGCTGGTTTAATAGGATCTTTATCATATGCTGCATTAAGATCAGCTGGTGTTAATACTTTAATAACAATGCTTATTATGTTAATTGTACCCGGATTAGAATGTGTTGCATTTTGGATAATTCTTAGAAAACCATCAAAAATAGTTTTACCAACTTCAAATTTAGAAAATTCTTATGATATTGATAAAATTAAAATGCAAGAAAAAACTGAAAATGAAATTAATAATGATGAGAAACCATTAGTAACACTGAAAGAAAAAATTTATTATATTGTATATTTACTTAGATATATGATCCCATTAACGGTGGTTTATTTAGCTGAATATTTCATAAATCAGGGTTTGGTAAGTAATCTTTTTATAATTAAATCTTCACATGGCTATTTATTAATCTATTTTCTTTTTACTCTTCCAAATAGTTTGAGTTGGTAAATTTTAAAAATACAAGCTTAGATAAAGCATCACAATATCGTTGGTTAAATGTTGATTATCAAATTGGTGTATTAATATCCCGTTCAACCGTGAATTTGTTTTCTGTTAGCAAAATAGTTTTATTCCCAATATTCCAAATGATAAATGTAATTTACTTTTTAAATGAAGTTATTTTCTATATTACACCAACAATTTGGATTGTTTTTGTTATTGTTTTATGGGAAGGTTTATTGGGTGGAGGAGCTTATGTCAATACATTTTATAAAATGTCAAAAGATATACCAGTTGCTAGAAGACAATTTGCATTAAGTGTAGTTGCAATAGCAGATTCAATTGGAATTACTTTAGCCGGATTTATATCGCTACCTGTTCATAATGCCATTTGTCATATTCCAGAACCACAAAGATTATATGAGTTTTAAAAAGTGTAATCAAAAATGTTTTACTAAGTATTATTTGTTATATGTGTATATTATTAGTTTAATTTCGAAAAGTGATAAGTTATTTGTTTTTTTTTTTAGTTTTCTTTTGAAGACTGATAACAAACACCTTTTTTAACAAATATGTAATATTATAAGAATTGCATAAATAATTTAAGATAACTAAGATTTGGAAATTAATTTTGATGTACCTTAATTTTTAGTTTTATTACGTTTAGTTTTTAATAATAAATTTTGATTATAAGATTTTATAACACAATAGTGTATAACTTTTTCATTATATAAAGCAATTACTTAAGTAATTTAATTAAGCTCTTAAGACAAAACATACAGGCTTAAAGTAACAAAAAAAAGAAGAACAATAATTTCAGATATTTGTTTAGTTTGTGTGTAAACATTTTTATTGAACATTTTTTAACTATAACTTTAATCTATTCTAAATACACATTTTTTATAATTTTGGTAAAATAAAAGTATTATGCAAAATTAAAATGATCGTTTTCTATGTATGTACATATGTATGTATGTAAATTTTTAATATGAATTACTCTGTCAAACTGCAAACATCAAAATAATTTACTTTCTCTCATGTCAGATTTTTAATAATTTTGTGTAACGATGTATTTTTTGTTATCGAGCAATAAATAATCTTAATTTAATATTTAATAAATTAAATTATTTTTACGTCAACTATACTATACAAAAGCTAATTAAAAATTCAATTGTAATTTAAGACTTCGATGTCTAGAAAAAATAACTAAACGGCATCTTCAGGAAAAAATCACAAAATACGTACAAATTTCATATTTCGAGCTAAATATTAAATTTTACTCAGCTAACAATTCGATGTTTTAATTAAATTTTATTATATAATACAAACGTCATTAAAATTTATGACAACGTATACTTATTTAGGATAAGGTTCGTTCTAACTAATTTACTAAAAACTAACACCGGCAATATAGCAGTCCACAAAACGATAACAATATATTGAGGCTAATATATTGCAAATATATTGCTATTATTTTGATTCCATTTTTTTATGGAAATTTTAACTTTCTGTGGGAGCTGCACCAGCTCGCGCGAGAAGGGAAATAATTTACTCTAACGGCGGCGGAGTTGCGGTCCTCCGCGCTCCACAAATTGTTCGAGTAAATCAAGACGGTGAATCTGAAGCAGTCTACAATTTACATGGTCACAAACTGTATTCTTAACGGTGGCAACCCTGATTGTAATCTCAAAAATTTATATAATCAATTTATGTATATAATTAAGAATCTACAGTAATACAAATTGTAGAGTAATTATTATAGAACTTGCATATTAAAACAAAATTTTTAAAATAAGTGAGATCATTTTAGTAAAATTTAACATTTTCGTTTTTAACATTTTATTTGTTTTCTGTTAGCTTCTGTTAATGTAAAGCACGGAAAATGTTATTTTGTATTTAATATACTTGCCTCGCGGAGAAAGCTTTTACTTTTTAAAATAAAACAATTGATAAGAAAAAAAAAATAAACTGGGAAGAATTGTTTTTTTTTTAATTTACTATTATTTTAAAAAACCAAATCACAAACAAAAGCTTAAAATTTAAAAATAAAAAACAAACAATCAAAATATTGAAGAGCATTAATATACCGTTATATAATATTGTTGTTATTGTAGCGAACATTTTCTAAAACAATTGAGTTTTCATGCTTTGATTATTCTCATATTTCTTGTTCACTCTCATAAGTCACAACAAAACAAAGCTTATTGTTATCAGAATCAGCTGTTTTTTTTTGTTGTTGCTGTTACGATCAATGTAAATCGCAGCGAATATTTCTGCAAATAAACTGAATTCGCTTTAAAAAGCTGCAAATTAAAACTTTTTTTTTTATTTTTATTTTAAAGTACAAATTTATAATTAATCAGTTATTTTTTGCTTTCTTTTTTAACTGGTAGTCAAATTTATTGAATTAATTATTCGTTAAAAGTAAAACGTTTCAAAAAATTTTTTTTTCACAATTAAAGCGTTTTTTTTCGCTGTTTAACCGTAAAATTAATTACACATTTCAGTTTACATTCAAAAAATAAAAAAAAATCGGAAGTAAGAACTTTAAGTAAGGGCATTGAATTTTTTGTGTATTTTATTGAGCACTTATTCGGCTTTTTTAAATTTTTCTTAAAAACCTTAAACGGTATAATATGTCAGATCAAAATTAAATAAACGTCAATGAAATTATATTTCATAGTACTCGTAATTAATATCATAATGACGTCATTTTGCTCTTATGTAAAATATAAAAAAAAATAAGTAAACAATAAAAGTTAAAAATAAATTTTAGGCTTTTAAGTGGACTTTAGAAGTACTTAATTGTAACAAAGAATAAAAAGAAATAGTAGGTATGCGTTTATCAGTGCGAGTATACTAAGGCTTATAACAAAATAACCTGCCAGATTTAAATATGAATATATCATGATGTGCGATATAAATTAAAAATTTTAAGTGACCACACATTTTATTGTAAACCATAACTGTATATGATTAATTTTAATTCAAAGTCAGCTGTATTTGTATAATCATTTGGTATTTGAAGTGGAAGCAATAGAAAATAGAATTTGAAATAAACACACAATTTTATTTAAATTTGTGCCTATAACAAAGTTTTGTTAATAAATCAATTTAAATACGAAGTAATTTCGTATAGACTAGCTTGATTAAATAGAGAACGGAAAGGAGCTCTAAGATATCTTTCAAGTAGAAAAAAACGATTTAAAAGAATGTGTAGAATTGTACAGACAAACCACTTCTCTTAATAAAGCATTAAATATTTAAATAAATTTATTATATGGTTCTTATGAAGTCGAAAATGAACAATGCGGCTGTACCACAATGAACCTAAATGGCTCAATTGCACAATTCGGGGGTCGTGCCAACCTAACCTATCCCAATCAAAGTAAATTTATTGCATTTATAGCACTTATAAGCTTTCTTGTATAAAGATAACCAAAACTATTTTAAAGAATGGTGTACCTGTACACTGAAAAGATCTAAGTTGTTTAGTAATTGAGATTCTAATTAAGTCAACATATTAATTAGAAAATGTTTTTGTTTAAAAAAATTCCAGATTATTATCAATCTGTTATTAAATGTAATCAGTGTTAGAATTGTCATAGTGTTCAGTGTTACCATATAATATTTAAGGATTCCTCCGAATAATAAAAATTGTAGGATTTTTTACTGCACTGTAAAAATTTTAAAGTACATTCGTTTACAACTTCCAGCTTTAAATGAGGAGGACACTTAAATGCTTTTTATTAATTCTATACAATATAAAATGACCACATTGACTTGCAATTTTTTTATTATAAAAAATAAATTTAAATTTCTATTAAAACATTAAAAAAAAATATTATTTTCATATAAGGAAATTTTCAAAATTAATCGATATATGTACTTAAACGTCATATTATTTGAAGAAAACACATGGCAAAAATCATTAAAACATTTAAATTTTGTGTGCAACCTTAACATTTAACATAATTTTCAATAAAAAAAAAAACTTTATTAATATTAAGCTCACGTTTTATATATAAATTCAAAGAAACGCTGACCTCTATACATTTTACATACATACATACTTATTTACGTTTTATATTTAATTTTTATATGTTTTGCTCTTTTTCTTATTATTTTCACTTTTGTTTTCTGAACTTACCGCGACTAAAGTTAGACTTTGCTAAAATTTTTTTTTGTTTTTACAATAAAATAAATTTTGGCTGATTACCTTGTAAATTTTAATATGATTATGTATGAGCATTACTAAATTTCTTTATAAGAAAAAAAAAATTAATTTAATTATTAAAAATTCAGAAAACGTAGAAGAAATAAAATTTGCATTAAAAATATATTATAGGACAATATTAAATTAAATTCGGAATATTTTCAATATTGTAATCTTTGTAGATCCTTGTATTACCAAAAGGTTATTTTTCTAATAAATTCTAAAGCAAGTTCAAAGACAAATTCATTAAGTACAAAATTAATTTAAAATTAAATAAATAAAATAATGCATTGTGTTTACCAGTTACATTTGTTTTTTTAGTTTTTACATCAAATTAACAATTAACTACAAATACAAAATAAAGATTTAAGAGTAGGTACTTATGTTAGATTAAAAGTAGTTAATGGTTATTATTCCTAAAACAAAATATACAATGCATGCATAGTTCTTATCAATGCAAATATTGCTATTTTTGATAAAATACGGTAATTCAGCTTAAAACATACAAATATTTTGAATATAAAAAAAAGTGTTGACATTGTTATTAACATTATATGTAGGAAAAAAATAAAACAACTATTGTAAAATTTTTTATTTATAAATACTTCTATTAAATTAGTTTAAATATTTATTTACACATTTAGTAATTGTGGTATTCAAAAAGAAAACAAGACTATTATACTATGATTGCAGTCTACCTTAATGACAGTGCAAATAATTGAATTTTGATAAGATTCACAATAAAATATTTCAATAAGGTGAAATTTATATTTTGACAGTAATCTCCGGATAATTACACCTTTCTTAACTGCATTTCTCTTTTAATTGCGGGTGAATATAGACCGATTTCAAGTTTACATGTACAATTGTAAGTAACATTCCATATTAAAAAATAAGTTCATTAATTGATCGGTTCAGTTGGTCGGTTAATTGCGTGAAATATTATAAATTTTGAATGGTCTGAATTGTTCGAAGATTACTTTGAATGTTCTTTAAACTTGTATCGTACGAATATTTGTCATAATTATTAGTGCTGTTTAAACGATTATATTTTATATTTATAATTATTTTATTATTTATTCGAGATTTTCAAGAAAGAACCCTTTTCTGATAAGACAATTACATTCTAAGCTACCTATATATATTACACAAAAAACAAAATTTTAAATTTTGTGTACGTCAACATTGTTCTCAGCGTTATTCTTAATTATTTTTAGTACTTTTCGTTTCCGCATAAAAATATGCTATTTTTGAAACGAAAACGCTCATTAATTATAATAGCACTTTATTATTGAACCGAAAAATTGTGCGTACTGTCATTTACCTAATTTGATAATTATAAATAATTTCATGGTTATCAAATTTAAATTATAGATTTAAATTAAATCTAATATATATTTTTAATTAAATAATCGTACGTCATTATTATCAAATTCAGTATTCTATATTAAATAATTCAAAATAATATATAGCTAACCTTATTTATTAAAATACGTATATATATATATTTGCACGTACATATGTAGGAAGATTTTTACAATCTTTTAATCAATGAAATTTTCAAATCTAATTTTTCATATAAACGTAAATAAACTTTGTATTTAATATTATTTCCTTAAATTCGGACGTCATTCCGTTTATTGATTAATATGCAATTGTAGTAAATTTTGAATTTAATATTGTGAATGTGATTTCTAATTTCTGAATATTCCTATAGAGCGTATATTTTATTTAAATTAAACTTCAGTTGTAAATAAAGCTTTATCAAAGAAGGATGTTGCGGCATTCATTTAATTATTAAGAAATTAATTTATGTTAAGATGAGGAAAAAATTATTTAGTTTAAGCAAACCCAAAAATGTGGTAGGCAGTAATAATTCAAAGAAGTTCCCCAATATTTATGTAGAAATTTAATAAAATTTCATACACTTGTCTTACGTGTTATAAATAGTCATGCGAGAGCCCATCATAACCGTTTACGAAATTCTATACTTTTATATGAAGCATAATGCTTTAAATAATGAAGAAATTTTGTTTCCACGCAGGTATTGGTCTAACACTGGAGTAGAAGTTATGAGTTACATTTTATACTGAAAGGAGAAAAGTTGTTGAGCACTAAAAATGTCATTTAAATACAAAATAAATGAAGATGAAACGAAAAATATTGAAAACGAAACGGCCAGTACTGAAAATTATGTAAGTAAAATCAAATACTTTTTCATCTAAGATTTAAATTGAGTTTCAAACTAAATAAAATTAAATCTTATATTCATGTTCATAAAATGTTGTAGAATTATCGCAATCCTGAATTTATAACAGATTCCAATCAATCGTTATCCACCAAAGATGTCTTATCATCTAATGAAGAAAAGCCGAATGATCAAAATAATACTAATCAAATTAAAGAAGAAACGCCAAAGGTATCAAAACCAAGTGATCCGCAACTTTGGAGAGATTTATTGGCATTTTGGTTTTTGGGTTTATGCAATAATTATGGTTATGTTGTAATGTTAAGCGCTGCTCACGATATAATTGGAAAATTTGATGACAACGTAAGGTTTGAAAATCATTTCAAAACAAAATTTAATTAAGATTAAGAATATTAAAACTATATAATAGCAATTATTAGACCAAGTAGGAATTTAAAAAGTCGAAATATTTTTAATATTCACAATATTCTAAACGACATTTTCTAAATTTTTTGTTTGTCGAAAGTTTTAACATACTTTTATAGATTTAAACACTCACGTCCAAACAAATACTTTTAATTTTGCAGCATAAACAGCCTGAAGAAAAAAATGATCGTGATTGTCAAATAATGTCAACTGGGGCCATTCTTTTAGCAGATATTATTCCGTCTTTAATGATAAAATTACTGGTTCCATTTTTACCATTTTGGGTTAAGTATGAACATATTATAACCGATGTTAACAATATGTTGCTAGATACTTTTTTTATATTTTGAATTACAGTGTACGGGTTATTATTGCAAATTTATTGACAGCCGCTGGATTTTTACTAGTTGGTTACTCTGAAAATCAATGGATTACATTAATAGGTGTTATATGTACTTCGTTATCTTCTGGATTAGGTGAAGCCACATTTTTAGGTTATTCATCACGTTTTAATAGGCAAATTATCTTATTTATTTTTATTTCAAATGACAATAATATATTCTGATACTCGATTATTATTTTATAGAAATGTTGTATCAACTTGGTCATCAGGTACTGGTAGTGCTGGAGTTGGTGGATCATTAACGTATGCTGCTTTAAGATCAGTTGGTGTTAGTTCATTAGTAACAATGCTAATATTATTAATAGTTCCTGTGATAGAATGCATTGCATTTTGGATAATATTAAGAAAACCAGAAAAATCTTTAACTGGTCATAATATTAACAACTGTAACAACGAAAAGGATTGTCAAGTTGAAAAAGATGCTCAACAATTGAATGTAAATAATCCTGATGAAATGCCATTGAAAACATTAAAAGAGAAATTGCGCTATATGTTTAGTTTATTAAAATACATGATTCCTTTGGGTGTGGTTTATGTAGCCGAATATTTTATAAATCAAGGTTTAGTAAGTTAGTTGAACAATATTTTAAATATAAAAAACTCAAAAAATATTTATTTTTTTTTAGTTTGAACTCGTTTATTTCAAAAATGCATCATTTGATAAGAAAACTCAATATCGTTGGTTGAATGTTGTTTATCAAATTGGTGTTTTAATTTCGCGTTCTTCAGTTAATTTATTGACAATTGATAAATTATGGATATTCCCAATATTGCAGTTAATAAATGTGGCATATTTTCTTACAGAAGTTATATTATATATTACGCCAACAATATGGATTGTTTTCGGAATTGTGTTATTTGAAGGACTCTTAGGTGGTGGAGCTTATGTTAATACATTTTACAAAATTTCTAAAAAAGTTCCTGAAGCTCGAAGACAATTTGCTTTAAGTTTTGTTTCAATATCTGATGCAGCTGGTATCACTTTAGCAGGATTTATTGCCATACCAGTTCATAATGCTATTTGTAATATACCCGCGCCTAATAGACTATAATTTTGGTAGTACCTAAGCAATAATTAACAATAGTTAAGTTAAAGTATGTAGATCAATTTAATATACATAAATGTATATACATTTTTAAGTATTATTGTATTTTTGATGTTATTATTTGATTTTGATGATGCCATAAACCTTAGTTTGTGCTTAGCTGGACACTAAATGTGCTTAAAATTTAATTGGCGAATTAACTAGGGAGTAAGAATTGAATAATTCTGTATTCATGAATTGAGCATTCATGCAATAAGAATCCCTTAATTAATATAATTTCTGAGCCTATTCAGTGCAAATAATTAAATCATTTAAGTCAGCAAGCCAATATTTTATAATTTTAGGTACATACGTATTATTTTCTTCGTATAATATTCTCATAATAAATTAAAAAAAATTTCGCCAAAACTTATGCAATTTTTCTTTGAAAAAATTCTTTTCAATCGAATAGAAAATGATCTAGAATTTATTGATTTCCAAGCTTTGTAAATGATTTTGTAAATTTTTGAAAATATTTTTTAATTATGAAAAATTACAATTTGTAATTAGCTCTCAAGTATTTAAATTTTTGTAAAATATTTTGTAAATTAAATTAAATTTATTAAATTTTTACAATGTATCGAAATACTTTTGATTTTCGCCACGTCGTTTTAACATTACATATTTATGTTTTTTCAAATTTCTTTAAAAACTGATAAAGTAACGGTGAAATTGTATCCCCTAAATATATGCAACATAGAACTTTCATTACTTTATTAAGAGAATGTTTGTTGTAAATAGAGCATGGTTTTGAAAATATAGAAAAAGTGTTAATAAAAAAACTTTAACAACTTGTGCCGCATTAAATTACACTAATCTTATTACTCACACTATTGAAATTAAAAATTCATATTCCAAAGTTTGATTACGAAAAAAAGCAAAACAAATAAAAAGAGAACAAACAGAAGGGTTAATAAAAGGAGCAATTGTTATATAAAATCTGTTTTTAGTTGACTTTAGCTCACATGTTCTTTTTCAGTCTGATTCTATTGGCATTTGAGAGTAAAATATCGTTAATATTAAATTCGATTTTGGCTTTTTAAAATGTTTTTTTTTTTAATTTCTAACCGTAATTGTGATTAGAATTTCGTGAAAATGTGCGATTAGAAATTTGGGTATATAACAAATTGAATGAGAGTTTATTTCTTAGTGTATAATGCGACATAATTTCGGACAATTGTGCTCTAAGCAATATTTACCAAAAAAACTTTCAATAAATAAATAAATTTAAATCAAAGGGAAAAAATTATTTAGAAGATCATATATTTTTTAAAATTTTAAGAAAATGAAGTTGTATATTTTAATTTTATCTAATTTGCTTATTATCAATGATATTTTTGGGCTAAAAAACCATAGTGAAAGTTTATTAACCGATAATGTAAATACAACCAGCTGGAAATCAACTAAAGAACCCTCTATAAGGAGTAGAAAAGGCAGGAAACCAAATATTATTTTGATATTAGCCGATGATCTTGTAAGTATATTTTTATTCAAGAATCTTCAATAAGGTTCATGTCAATAATAATTGCAAAGTACTTGAGGGAGCGTTACAGGTGTGGAACTTAGTTCAATGGTAAAAAATATCCTTTCATGTTGGCCTCTTTTAACAACTAACCATTTAATAATATCGAATTTTGATAACCGGACTCTGCTTTTACATCTTCTACTGCGTTAATTATTGGTTGCTTTTATTTTGAATTATCCTTCTTTAATACCAAATATTTTTAGGGTTTTAATGATGTCAGTTTTCGTGGGCAGAATTTTTTTCTAACTCCAAATATTGATGCTTTAGCTTACCATGGAACAATTCTTAATAAATATTACGTACCATCTGTGTGCACACCTTCTAGAACTGCTTTATTAACAGGCAAATACCCACTTAGAACAGGTAATAACTTAAATAAATTTGCTCTAATTTACACTCTAATTTTCCCTTTTACTATGGAAGGTATGCAACATTTAGTTATTCCAAACGGTGAACCATGGGGCTTATGCGCAAATGAAAAATTAATGTCACATATATTTCAAGAAGCAGGATATTCTACAAATATAATTGGTAAATGGCATTTGGGATTTTTCAAAGAAAGTTATACACCAACATATCGTGGATTCGATTATCATTATGGTTATATGGGAGGCTATATTGATTATTGGACACATTCTTTAAAGCCGTCTGTATAAAAAGAATTTCGGATTTTAATTACTATATTTCTCAAATTTTTTTTTATTTGAATCAATTAGAATTCATGTTACTCACCTGGTCATGATTTATGGAAAAATACTGAACAGGTTTATGATAAAAATGGTACCTATGCAACTGATATTATAACAAATGAAGCAATTAATGTCATTAGAAATCATAACGTAAATGAGAAGCCATTATTTTTAATTATAAATCACTTAGCACCACATACTGGAGACGAAGATGATCCAATGCAAGCTCCAAAAGATGAAATTGATAAGTTTACTCATATAACAGATTTAAATAAAAGAACCTATGCTGGTATGATGAAAATAAATTTACACATTAATTGTGTTAATATAATTTTAAAATATTTTGCGAGATAGCTATGGTAAGCAAGTTGGATGAAAGTATAGGAAAAACAATTCATGCTTTGAAAAATAAAAATATGTTAGAAAATTCTATAGTTATTTTTTATTCGGATAATGGTGCTCCAACAGTTGGGATGTTTTCAAATGGCGGATCGAATTTTCCTCTTCGGGGAGTAAGTTTGCACTGTGAATTCTGAAATTTATAAATATTCTTTTACACATACAGGTATACCATTATTATAATTTTTCTCTATTTTAGCAAAAATTTTCTCCATGGGAAGGAGGAGTTCGTTCATCAGGTGTAATTTGGAGTCCCTTACTGAATGTTCAGAGTACAATTTGGAATGAATATATTCATGCAATTGATTGGCTTCCAACTTTACTTGATGCTGCTAATATACCAATTCCAAATGAATATCAAATTGATGGACGTAATTTATGGAAATCAATATCTAATGGTGAATCTATTGATGAAAGATCCATTCTTCATAACATTGATGAGATATTAGGTTATAGTTCTTATATGCGGGGAATATATAAATATATTAACGGAACAACAAATGAAGGAGTATATGATAGTTGGCTAAGTGATGTAGAATATGAAAAAGATCCCCGATCCTATAATTATTCTAAAACAATAATAAATACACAAACATGGAAAATTCTTCAAAATTTCAATAAAAATAATATTGATACCAATAAAATTGAAAAAATTCGATCACAATTATCAATTAAATGTAATTTACGAAAAAAAATTTCAAATAATAGCACTTTTGAATGTGAACCATTAAAGGCTCCATGTTTATTCAATATAAAATCAGATCCATGTGAAATGTATAACTTAGCTAAATTACCTAAATATCAAGGTATTTTGGAATCAATGAAAAATGATGTTGAAGAATGGAAAAACAAATTAATACCATCAGTACGTCAAGATTACTTTGATCCGATTAGTGATCCTGCTTTACATAATGGTGAATGGAGATGGTGGAAAGATCAAAGTGATGGGAATTCTATACCCGGAACTTATTGCATATGAAATTATATTTTTATTCTTACTTCAAAATTAGTTAAATTCAAAACCGAATTGATTTTTTATTGAAATAAAGAACATTTTGGAATTTTTTGCTATAGAATTAGTAATTCATAAAATTGTATTGTAAAAGAAAACAATTTCAACTATAAATTTAATTAAATATAAAAAATTTTTGCTAAACAACATTTTAATTAAAAAAATTTTTAATTAAGTAGAAATCTTTCAAGCGAATCTCAAATTAAATTTAAGTATGGTTTTTCGACAATCATTAATCATTGTCTTAAAAAATTTATTAAAATTAAATAACAAGTTAAATAATTTTTAAAATTAAAATTTATGCAAAAAACTTCAATGATATTAAAAAGCAAAAAAAATTCCTAAGATTAGTTCAGTTTTTTAAATTAATTGCAAAAATATTTAAATATTTTCAAAATTGTTTTAGACTGTGTAATCTTTTAAAAAATATTCTTAAAATAAATTTATAAAATATTTTAACCCAATAAATGTGACAGAAAAATTAAAAATTAGGCAAATTTTAAAGGAGTAAAAGGGTTTAATAATTTAGATCATTTAAATTTAGTTTATTTTTATAGGTTTCAACCCGTATACCAATTGAAAATTCAATTAGTTGATCACCTTTCCAAGATTATACAAAAATTTCATTTCAAAAAGCAAATATACACATGCATATAGAGCACAAATTTAAACAAAACACTTTTCGAATTTACCGCAGCTGATTAAATAATTTTGTAAACAAAATTTAACCGATATAAAAATTTGCAGTCTACTTTCTGAATATATGAAACAGAAGATGAAAAATACTGTAGAAGAAGCAGATGTTGTTCTATTTTTTTGCTATTACGTCGATTTTGTAATAAAATCATTCATATACATACAATCCTTCAGTTCATTTAAAAACCGCTTCATTTAACTTCCTCGTATACATATATTAATAAATACTTTTATACAAAATAAATATAACATTTTTAAGTTCAAATTACTCGTATTATACATATAAAATTTTATTATCATATAGTTTGTCTAATTCTAAATAAATCATATTAATTTTTAGTAAACAAACTTAATTGTCTCTCCAGATCTCTAAAATTTTGGAAATTGTAAAAGTTTTTTTTACATACAACAACTAAAGGAGAACTAGAATCAATGATTAATTCTATAACTAAATATTTTAAAGTAGGGTTCATTCTGCACAATTATAAGACTAGCAATAGCATTTTTATAAATTTCTAAAATTCGGCTAAATTCGGCGTTAAATAGTTTGTTGTTTTGTGTTCTCTACAATTCTAATTGTCATTCTCTCTGTTATTATGGTATTGCTATCAAAATATATATGACATTAGTATATAGTCTTTAAAATTATTGTAATATCTTATTAAATTATAATTTTTTTCAAGTATAGCCGTAGCAAATTATTAACGCTGTCAACACATAACTACATTTATACTTAAAAACAATAATTGTTGCTAAATAATCTCCCCTAAGATCCTCTAGGATCCACGACTCAGACGCTATTTTTTCTTAATCATACAACATACCCGTATTATTACAATATTTCTCTGTCTTTCTAAAAAATAAATCTATTATAAACTTAAACTATAATTCTTAATTACTTTTTTTAATACAACAAAATATTCCTTAAAATTTCGTGCTCTTTAATTTATTAATTATTATTAAAAACTAGTTCGCGGCGAAGTGAAACGTTATTATACCTTGCTCAAATTTATTTTAATTTATTTTAAATATTAAAAAAAAAATTAATGAGCCTAGATAATCATTTTTTAATTAAGAAGTCAGAAATATATTATAAAAGCTTTCATTAATTTTTTTTTACAATTTAGTTAATATTGTAAAGTGACCGTGAAAAATAGGCGATAAACAATTTATTTTAATAAAAAATCAAATATTTAAAAAATTAATAATAATTAAATAATAAAATAAATAAATTACAATTTTCTACTATAGAAATGAAATATTTTTTAAATTTATTAAAAATATTCTTAATTGTTATATTGAAATATGATAATGTTTTTGGACAATTTTTTAATATTGGTGAAGAATGGAATGATTATGATGAAAATTTGAATTTATTAGAAATATCAGAAAAGAAATTTCCATATAGCGAAAAAGAATTAAAGGATAAACCAAATATAATTATGATCGTTGCTGATGATTTAGTAGGTCAATCTGAAATTTTATAAAAATATTAATAAAATTTTAAAATAAATTAATAACTAATAACGTTTACAATTAATTAAAATTTGTATTTAGTATGTATAATTTAAAAAGTAAATTAGAACACAAAGAGTACCCTTAAAGTGTTATAGCCGGAAAAGGTTACGTCACTGTGAAGACATAAAATATTTTTATACGCATAATTACAATTTTGAAATCAGAATCTTTGACCTTCAACATATAATTTTATAATTTTAATTGTGAATTATGATTACAGTAGAAGCACTAAATTTGTATAATATTAAAGTGTAGACAACTTCAGAAAATAATAATAGGCTTATTATACATAAATGACAAATAATAAGTGTTTTTTTTACCCATGTGCAGTTTTATTTAATTTGTGACAATTCTACTGATCAAAAACGTAAAATTAATTACTCATTTACAACATTTTTTTATTTGTTAAACATTAATAAATTGGAGTAATATTTAGAGGGCACTATAGCCTTTTTAAGGTAAAATGATTAAATAAAAAGGGGTTGAGTTTGACAAATATAATGACGGGCGTCAATAATAAAAATGCACAAAACCCAATAATTACCCGTTATTTTGGTTCCTAATAATTTTCAATTCATAAATTATGTTTGTGAATTTTTACAAAAAATTGTACTGTATCTGAATGACGTTAGATTCTACTAGTAAGAATCTAAGATATCAAAATTTTCAAAAGTGTTACTGTAAACAGTTTATGTAATTTTTTAAGATTAATTTTACACGGGTAATTACAAAATGAAATAAAAATATATTTTAAACATTATTTACTTGACAAGAATCAAAACAAAGAAACTTAAATTTTACGAAACTAAAATTAGATGTTATAAAATTTTGATAACGAGTTTTAGTACTTAAAATTTTAGTATTTAAATTGTGTTTTAAGCAATAAAAGAAGAAGGTCGCAAAAAATGTTTACAGTTATTTCTGTATCACATTGTGCTACCCGCGTTATTAAACTATTCACTGTTATTTAAGGTTTCTTTCAAAATAAACATCATAAATTCAATGTCATAAATTTAAAGACGCTGTAAAACTCCTAATCACTAATTTTCTAAAATTAAAATCTTTTATTTTCTATAAGGGTTTCAATGATGTCAGCTTTCGAGGACAAAATTGTATACTAACTCCGAATATTGATGCTCTAGCATATCATGGAACAATTCTTAATAAATATTATGTTCCTGCAATGTGCTCACCATCAAGAACAGCTTTATTAACTGGAAAATATCCAATTAGAACAGGTTCTCTTTTATAAAATTATAAGACAACCAATATCGCAGAAATTATATAATTTCGTATTTTTCTTTTGTATTATAAGGAATGCAACATTTCGTCATACCTAATGCTGAGCCATGGGGCTTATGTGCAAACGAAAAATTAATGTCACATATATTTCAAGAAGCAGGATATTCTACAAATTTAATTGGTAAATGGCATTTGGGGTTTTTTAAAGAAAGTTATACACCAACATTACGCGGATTTGATTATCATTATGGTTATATGGGTGGTTATATTGATTATTGGGATCACAGTTTAATAATGTTGGTTAGATTAAAATGATCGTTTTGATTTATTTATAAATTAATTATTTTTTTAATTTTGATATTCAATATAGGATAGTAATTTTTCTTGTGGTCATGATTTCTGGACAAATAGAAAGCAAACATATGATAAAAATGGTACATATGCTACAGATCTAATTACAAATGAAGCGGTCAGAGTTATTTTAAATCATAATGTTGAAGAGAAACCTCTTTTTATGATTACAAGTCATTTAGCTCCACATACAGCAAATGAAAATGATCCAATGCAAGCACCAAAAGATGAAATTGATAAATTTCAGCATATTAAGGATTTAAAAAAGAGAACGTATGCAGGTAACAAAATACAAATACGAGTACTTTTGATTAAATACTAATAAACTCCTTGAATATTTTATAGCAATGGTTAGTAAAATGGATGAGAGTATTGGAAAGATATTGCAAGCTTTAAATGACAAAGATATGTTAAAAAATTCTATTATAATTTACTATTCTGATAATGGAGCCCCAACAGTTGGTTTACATTCAAATGGTGGATCTAACTATCCATTGAGGGGGGTGAGTTTTACAATAGCAATTTTTTCTAACAGAAATAAATTTAATAATATTTTAAATACTATAGCAAAAAAATTCTCCATGGGAAGGTGGAATGCGTTCGTCTGCTGTTATATGGAGCCCCCTATTAATTAAAAAAAATTTTATTTGGGATGAGCCTATTCATGCAGTGGACTGGCTCCCGACATTACTTGCAGCCACTCAAACGTCATTACCACAAGGCTTTCAATTAGATGGACATAATTTATGGAATGCAATATCAAAAGGTCTTTCAAATGGTGATAGATCAATTTTACATAATATTGATACAATTGATGGATATGTTTCTTATATGCGAGGTCCATTTAAATATATTAACGGTACAACGGTTAACGGTATTTTTGATAATTGGTTAAGTCAATCTGAGAAGGAAATAGATCCAAGAGCTGTTAATTATTTTGAAACTGTTAAAAATACATCAACATGGAATTTATTACAGACTTTCAATAAAAAACCAATAAATTCGTATAAAATTGAAAGGGTTCGATCAGATTTGTCTGTTAAATGTCCAAATTTATATGAAAATCCAAGCTATAATGTATTTAAATGTGAACCATTAAAAGAACCCTGTCTATTTAATTTAGATTTAGATCCATGTGAAAAATTTAATTTAGCAAGAATTTCACAATTTGAAGAAGTTTTAAATTGTATGGAAGAAGATATTAAGAACTGGATGCAAAAGGTTGTACCATCAGTTCGTCAAGCTTACTATGATCCTGAAAGTAATCCGGCACTACATAATGGTGAATGGATATGGTGGAAAAATCAGAGTGATGGCAATGCTATACCAGGAACGTATTGTCATTGAAGAATTCAAAAATGCTTTAGGTATACCTAAAGCTTTAAATAGACATGTAAACTAATCTCTGGTGGAACCCATTTAAATTGTTACGTTCCAATGTTTTTTTCAATGAATGAGCTTTAATAAACAAATTTTAAAAAAAATTTGAATTTTATTTTCAACTTGATTTCAACTAGGAAGACGGTATTAAACTGAATAAAACAAGATTTTTTACAATCCAACACCAACTTTATTTTTCAATACATTTTTGGCATTTTTCAAAGTTTCAAATCTCCTTTGTATCGTATATCTAATTCTAATCCTTTACAATAAGTACCTGGAATTCCAATATCGTAAGTATCATCGACCCACCAAGTCCATGTACCATTATGAAGAGCTGGATTTGCATTTTTATCACCCATCTTGTAAACACTTGGTACAAGCTCTTTTCTAAATGATTTAAGATTTTCTTGCATTGCTTTTACTCTAAAACTGAAGTATTTTGCAAAATTATATCTTTCACATGGATCATAATTTAAATTAAAAAGACATGGTTCTTCCAAGGGTTTGCACTTAAACGATTTTATTTCCATTAAAGGATATATGGGACACTTAATTTTCGCTTGATATCGAAGCCTTTCTACGTTATTCTTCGTTAATAATGTCGAAGTTGAACATTTTTGGTTGCCTTTATTTAATGATGAACCAATATCCGATTCCATGATTTCAGAATAATAATTTTTTGTTCTTGGATCAAGTTCATTACCGATTCTACCGAGGAAATTGTCATATTTTCCATTCGAAGTTGTATAATTAACGTATTTCCAGTCTCCTTCTAGATACGAGGAATAACCAAAAATTTCATCAATATTATGAAGTATTTTTCGACTAATTGGACTTTTAGCATTTGAAAGATTATCCCAAAGATCAATTCCATCAAGTTTTTTAGAAGACACAATTTTTATACCAGCAGCAGAAGCTAAAGTTGGAAACCAGTCTGTTAGATGAATTAATTGTTTTGAAACATAACTTCTCTGATTTAAAAGAGGACTGTATAAAATAGCTGGTACACGAATAGCACCTTCAAATGGTGAATTCTTTTGCTGTAATAAAATTTTTATAAGTAGATGAGTAATAAAATTCATAAATTATTGAAATTTTATTTACAGATCTAAAAGGAAAATTTGAACCACTATTCGAGTGTAATCCTTGGGTAGGAGCACCATTATCACTATAAAATAATATAATTGTATTACATAACATATTCCTATTACTTAAGGCTTTCACAATTAATCCTACACTTTTATCAAGTTTGGAAACCATAGCTGAAATAAACAAAATGAATCTTAAATAATTTTAATCCAATATTGATTTTTTACATTCGATCTACACATTTAATTACCAGCATATTTTCGTCTCTTCTCATCTTTTATATATTGAAATTTATTTATTTCTGATAATGGGGCTTGCATTGGATCATTTTCATTGCCAGTATGCGGTGCCAAATGATTTACCATTAAAAATAAAGGTTTCTTGCCTGGTCCATGATTTTCAATAATTCTTATCGCTTCATTTGTAAATAAATCGGTTGCGTATTGACCTCGTCCTCTATAATTTATTTTTAGATCATTATAAAAATCATAACCTCGACTATAATTTTTATCCTGCGTATAACATATAATAAAACTGTTTATAATGGCTAGCAAAATATAAGTGAAATGAATTTTTATATTACCAACATAATAACACTATGATCCCAATAATCTATATATCCTCCCATATAACCATAATGATGATCAAATCCTCTGTATAATGGTGTAAATACTTTTTTAAAATATCCTAAATGCCATTTACCAACTAAATTTGTTGAATAACCATTTGCTTTAAATACATGAGACATTAATATTTCATTTGGACATAAGCCCCATGGATCATCATTTGCCATGACAAAATGTTGCATTCCAGTTCTTATTGGATATTTGCCAGTTAAAAAAGCAGTTCTTGATGGTGAACACATTGGAGGTGTATAATGTTTATTTAATATAATACCGTTATAGGCAAGAGCATCTAAATTTGGTGTTATAAATTGATTTTGACCATTAAAACTGACATCATTGAAACCCTAAATTATATTATTATTGGAAATTTGAATAGATTTGCAAAAAAAAAATTTTTAATTTTGTTATAGTTAATCTATTCCTTGTTTTTTTGTTTCTCTCCCAGTCTCCACATAAATTATGCACTCAAAAAACTTCTTTGACTTTCTTTTGATAAAATGGGAGTGAAAAAGTGTGTGGAATTCTCACTTTTTTTAAAATTCTCTTGCACATATTGACAATATTCGGTACATTTTGTCAATTCGTTTATAATTTAAAAAAACTCACCATGTCATCTGCCATTATTATCACAATATTTGGTTTCTTTTTGTGACATGTTTTCTCTCCAAAAATTAAAACAAAGTGTAAATGCAATATATTAAAAACCAACCACAATTTCATCTTAATCCAAAAATATTTAAAATTTTATCGCGTCCTCGCGATTTAAAGTTCTAATGTTAACTAAACGGAAATTTCTTAAAATTCTTTTCAGTTTGCTAAAAGTGTCCAAAAGCATTCTTACCGTATTTCTTAAGAACTATTTTACATTTTATGTTTATTCTTACTCATATGGGATGTAAAAAACAAATCAAAGAAAAAAGTCAGATAACGTTCTTTATTACACTGCCAAAAAGAAAAAAATAAATTTAATTTATCCGAATTAAAAACTTTGTACGATAGAAAGCTTTATTTTAAGAGTTTGTTAACCAAAAAAAATCCATGAAAAGGTATTTGTCCTCTACTTCAAAATAAATATTTGGTTTATTAGTTGGTTCATAAATTTTACGCTCATAAAATTACCTTTGATACTTACAAGTTCAAGATTTTCTTAAACATTTATTTAAAGAGATAAAAATTCAGAAGATGTCATTTATGACACAATTATTTAACTTTCCAACCTTGTATGTATACATGGAAATGGTTATACATATGTGCAATTGTATAAATATCAAGCAACAACGTACGCTGTAGTGATGATTGTGAGTCAATTGGCTCGACAAAAAAAAATTATTCTTTGACGTAAGGCGATTTATATCCTTTTGTTTTGTTATGATGTTATTAAATTAGAGTGACCATATTCATAATATAAATTATTCTCTTAAAATTAATTAATATTCCCTGATTAACAGGAATTCATTGTTTCAAGGGAGAATAAAAAATTACATTTTATTCACAATTATCATTTTGCCATCGGGCAAAAGGCGGTTCAAGATAACGGTGAATTTTAACTGTAATTTATTTTGATTCGTAGCGATTTTTGCCTATACATACATGTGTGTTTGTTAAAATTAAATTCTATTTAATAGATCAGTGTCGATCTTGGTCATGCTTATAATCGATTCGTTAAGGGACGAGGGTTATGGGCGATGTGCTGTAAAGATTAGGTGATACGCTTCCCGTAGGCGTAGAAGTCGCGTTGGCTGGAGCTCGCTTTCTAGCATGTTGATATTTAAATTATTGGAATTATTGTTACTCTATTTGAAAAATATGTGTTAATTAAAAATATAAAATAAAATATAAAACGTTTAATTTACAAAAAAAAAACATACATGTACACACATACATAAATATAAAATAATATTAATCACATGTAATTTTAAAAGTAACTCAATATTCCAATAATACTGCAAAAGATTACTACTAATACACTATTTGAATTAATACGTCTTCCTGAATTTATATCCTTCCACCATGTCCAAGTTCCATTATATAATTTCGGATCACAATCTAAGCTCTTTGATTTTTTTCTAGCTGGTTTAACAGCTGTTTCTCTAAAATGTTCAATATCAATTCTCATATCATGTAAAATTCCAGGATTTTCTGATGCCAAATTGAAATGTTCACAAGGATCTTGTTGTATATTAAAAAGACATTCTTCAAACATTGGATTGCATTTATATTTGTGAATTTTTTCAGAATCTCTAATATCTTTACAATTAACAATTGATTTCTCTCTTAAATTTAATATAGATTCTTCATCTAAGGTGTGATTTTTGCTTTGTAGAAGCATGGAAATTTCTGAATTTAAAATTGTTTTCACATAATTTAAAGATCTTGGATCAGTTTCATTATTTATTAATCCCATCCATGAATCATAATTACCCCTACTAGTTGTACCATTTATATATTTCCAATTTCCTTTCATATACGAAACATAATTAAATATATCATCAATATTATGTACAATTTGACGTTGTTTAATCACAGGATTTGGAGATGATAATTGTTCCCACAAATTTCTACCATCCATACGAAATGATGCATCAATTGATATATTGGTAGCAGCAGCTAAAGTTGGTAACCAATCAGCAACATAAACAACTTGATCAAGTACACGTTTTTGATTTTTCAATAAAGGAGAAAATATTATTCCAGGTGTTCGTACACCTCCCTCCCATGGTGAATCTTTTTGCTAAATAAAATCATAAATATAGAAAAATTATTATTCCAGAAATATATTAAATTATAAAATATTTACTCCTCTAAGTGGATGATTAGAACCAGAATTGGAATGAACACCGATGGTAGGTGCTCCATTGTCCGAATAAAAAATTATTATTGTATTATCTAAAATTTTCTTTTCCTCCAAAGCTGAGACAATTTTACCAACACTTTGATCTAATTTTGATACCATAGCTAAAAATTGTAATTACATTAAGATTAAAAAAGTAATTTGAAAATTAAAGAATTATTTGACCTGCATAAATTCTACGGTTTGGATCTTTAATATATTTGAACTTTGATATTTCTTCAGGTGGTGCTTCGAACGGATCATCTTCATTACCAGAATGTGCTGCTAAATGAGTAACCATTAAAAATAATGGTTTACTAGCGTTATGATTTTTAATGACATTAATTGATTCTTGTGTAAAAAGATCAGTTGCATAAGTTCCATTCCCTTTGTATTCAATATCCATATTTTTCCGAAAATCATAACCTTTGTCAATCGGAATTGACTATTAATAAATGAAATAAAAATTATTTTTTATAAATTAAATATTTTATATTTGGAAAATATTACCGTTACTTGCATTGAATGGTCATAATAGCCAATATAACCTCCTAAATAACCATAATGATAATCAAAACCTCTTTGTGTTGGTGTAAAAGCTTTCTTATAAAATCCTAAATGCCATTTACCAACCAAATTAGTTGAATAACCATGTTCTTTAAATATTTCCGGCATTATTTTGTATCTTAATGGTAGGCCCCATGGTTCATTATTCGGTATTACATAATGTTGCATTCCTAAATACAAAAACAGTTAATTATAATTAGATTTTAAATTAAAAAAAAAATGATTGAGTAGCCGAACCTGTATGAATAGGATATTTTCCAGTAAGTAGAGTCGCTCTGGATGGTGTACATAATGCAGGTACATAATAATGATTTAATATAGTACCATGGTATGCTAAGGCATCAATATTAGGTGTTATAAATTGATTTGAACCACGAAAACTCACATCATTTAAACCCTAAATGTAATTTAAAAAAAAATATAAGTTAACGAGACCAGATATTGGCTAATACTTTTGGGGGCAAAAAATTGTGTATAAGGAATAATAAAGGCAGGTTGTTTTCTTTTACTATTTAGTTTAAGATGTTTTTATTTTTATATTTGACACTTCACACTATAGGATTTGTACTAGTTCGTAATGTCAAATCAACTCATTTTTGTTTTCCGTTTCGCAATAGAAAACTGATGGCCCTTCAATAACATCTCCACAGTATCAATAAATATTTAACAAATAAATAAATTTAGAGTGCGTTCGGAAATTAATAATTAATTCCATATTTATTTTATACCGACAAAATGCGATTTGGTGACACAAGATTATTTTTATTATGATTTACGAGACGTTTTTAGTTTATACAATATTCGACATAGATTAACAGCTTTAGGAAATGATGATGACGGTATTACAGTAAATGACTTATTACTTACTTTCCTAATATTTGATTTAAATTTCATGTCAATGTTGACTATCTTCATTTACTGTAATACCTTCATCATAATTTCCTAAAGCTGTTAATCGAACAAATTAGAGTATAGACATTCTAGATATCGCATATTTAATAAAAATTAGATTAATTATTTTATTTTTAGAAATATTATATAAAAACAACAAGGATAAGATTGGGATATGATGTAGAGCTTAACTGAAAATAGAGGAAGTTTCACTGAACATTCTTTTAAATAAAAAATTTTAACAACTTACCAAATCATCAGCTAATATAATAACAACATTTGGTGGCTGATTTTGTGAGGAAATCACATTAATTTCATTTAAAATTTGTAAAATATTTAAAAAAATTAAATTAAATTTATGTTTAAATATCATAGCTTTGTAAATTGCTTTTAAATTAAATTAAAATGGTAGAAAATTAATTGAAATCACTGTTTTTATTATATTAGATGTATAAATTATATAAAAATTTTATTAATTACTTAATTGAAATAACAAAATTTTAATTTAACATTTGTAATAAATTTGAATTTTATTTTTAAAAAATATTGTACAAGATTTTTAGCACATATAAAATACAAAATCACTTCTTTCAAATATTTTAATTAAAAAATTTATCCGAAGTTTGTGTTAGATGCCGCAGAATTTAAAAAACTTCTAACTTTTAATTTCTAATTTTAATTATATTTATTCTTTTTTCATTTTTATTTCATCTTGAGAACAAAATGTACCGCCCTGCACAGTTTTAGTTATTGTATTACAATATTTTCAATTAAAAATTTTACAGAGTGTTATGGTGTTATAATTAAATTTTTGGCAAATAGTAATCAGTATTGTTTAACTACATAAAAAACTATAAAAATTTTATGAATAAAGTAATTAATTTTTTGATAACAGCTACAAAATTTTAATTTGTACATATATAAAATATTTACGTTTCGTATACTTAAAATAAATAAATAAATATACAATTTATGTATACATAAAAAGATAAAAATAAAAGCATATTATAAAATTCATATAAGGGTTTTAATCAACTAATAAAGTAATAAAATAAAAATCCTATACAAATTTGTAAACAAGCTGCTTACAATATAGGCTCTTAATAATTGCAAAATATTGTAAAAAAATAAAAATTATGGTGAAATTATATAAAAATCGAATTGACTATAATTGAGCTGGGTGTTACAAACAAATTTATAAATACTTCCAGTATATGCAGACAAGAGAATTGACAAACTGGGGAAATTAAATTTTCTTGCAATGGTTAACAAGAAATTGTTTCAACAAAACTGATTGAGTCTCTGACAATTTGAAATAGTTGGTTAAACAGATTTAATTACGTTATTATTGCGGACCGACTACAGGCCAATTTTTTGTTAACCTTATACGTAATAGGCTCATTCGCAAATAAAGTTCATTTATTTTATAAGTTTTTTTTTTGTAATTGTACGGACTCCGAACCTTAAAAATCGTCATATATTCTAAATAAGTCTTAAAAGAAATTTAAATTAAATTGACTATTTGCTAAAAATATTTATAAATTTTTTTATTTTATTTAAGAAAAACTCAATCCCGTCCATTAATTTTACACCGTTCCTTTATTTTAATAGAATATTATCCATGTTTTTTCACTAGTAAACATTTTTCATTGAAAATTCTAAAATAAAAACAGTTTTATTTTTTTGTTTGTCTGTTCGTCTGCATAATTAGTCCTAAAATTTGCACGATTTTGGAACAAAACATGCCAAAAACTAAAATGGCAAAATATTTAATTCTCAAATAACACTTATCTTTGGTACTCACATGGCGAATATGTTTTAAAAATATTTTATAGAAAAAATAGAATTATCAAATAATTTCCGCCAAAACTTTTTATTACCAAATTTGGATTGTCTTTATACAAAACCTTCGATTTCCTACTAACTTGTACCTTTTATATTTATGTTATACTAGTTTCTTATTTAGATTTTTACAAATTCAATAGATTTCTTTCCTATATATTTTCAATTACTTTACTATACATAAAATGATATTAAATTATTGCCTTTTAATATTTATTATATGCATGTACATACATAAATAATATAAACTAAAATAAATAAGCAAATACGCTTATATAATCGTATTTATTATAAAACGGTGTGGTGTGGCTTTGTCACGATTAACATTGGCCTTAAAATTTAATAGATGAATTTCTATATACATATATACAATATGTGACCATTATTGAGATTTTTTTTTTTACAAGCACGCTACTAATTTCATTTATCGATACATTCGTATATAAATTGTAAATTATTTGCATACAAATCTATATATACATATTATATATCAATATATATCAATATATATGTTTGTATGTATTTTTTAATATGCCAATAATATGGTATATTCCAATTTTTCTTGAGATGCTTACTATTGTTTCTATAGAAAAGAAATTTTTGCTACAAGAAAGGTCAGTTATTTGCATAAAAATCCTACCAAATATTAAAATAAAAACCTTGATATTTGGTTATAAATAAAATGTTAAAAAAATTGCAAAACAATATAAAAAAAAAAATTAAATAAAAATATTAAATTTTTATAATAAGATGAAAAAATGAAAAAAGAAACGAAAATTATTTTGATGCCATGGTAAATGTTAAAATTTGCATTATCTCTGCGTATCCCATACAAATTTTTCGCTTGTTGTACTGTAAACTTAACTGACTGTGAACTTAATCATGACTCATTAAGTGTTGAATACCTAAAATCAAAAAATTTGCGTCACATTATCCAGTACTAATAGAGTTAATTTTATCAGAATTTCTTGAATTATGAAATTAATAGCCGACGAGACTTAAATTTCATAAGAAAATTATGTGAAATTTCAATCAAAGGAGGAGCATAGAACTGGTGCATGATATCATATATAGATAGCCATGTTAAGAATTATTTTTACCTTCATTTTTCTCTACATTCTACAAAAAGAATATCAACAAGATCTTTAATTTTAAGAACCGTGAAAAATACCTACATACTCATATCATGATTGAATTGATTAATCGTTTTAAAAATTCTAATCTTTAAATGTACTTTAACTACTTACGAATTGATAATAAATTATAATTTATTAAGTATATTTGGCAATATTATATTGATATTCTTAAGATATAAATTATCAATATTTTAATAATCTTATTTATTTACTAATTTTCGGAAGGTTAACAACTTTTGCCATAAACCTTATTTGCTATTCTCTACCTATGAACACTCATTAACTTGGAATTAATTCTATTTATAAAAATAAATTTTTTTTTTAAATTTTAAATGCATAATCTATAAAAGTACCCTATATACATTTGAAAGAATATTGTGTTTAAAATTTTAAAATTAATTTCTGTTTATTCATACATAAAAACCAAAACAAAATATTCTAGTAGCATATTCCAAGGATTTTTGTGGAATATATTTAATAAATTAAATTAAATTTATGGCTTTGAAGAATACAACTTTTAATTTTATATTTTAATATTAAAGCAAATTTCAATTAATTGCAATTTCGGTTCTCGTTATAGGTTGGGTTACGCCTCAGAAATTCTAGTTCTCGTTATAAAATATTCATTATAAATTTACAAACGCTTTCACTAAAAATTTCTTGAAAAATTATTATTATATTCAAAATTCAAATAATAAGCTGAAATTCCAGAAAAGTATTCCAATATAAAAATAAATAAAATCTATAGTTTTTATGCTATAAATGAATTTTGCCAATCACAAGTACCGTAAATCTTTTAAATTTTTAATTTTGTTTTAAATTTTATCAAAAAAAAAATAATTTTTTAAATTATCACTGTTTTTCATTTTGATCACCAAAGCTCTATTGCAACCAACACTTTTTATTACTTAATTAATAAATAAATTTTACTGAGTTTCTGTGGCACCAAGAGCCAAAACACTAATAAAAAATATTCATAGCAACAGATTCTTAATTTTAAAAAGTTAGAAAGTAAAAACAAAAATAAAAGTTGTAAATACAATAGGACCTAGTTTTACACTTTAAATTCAATTAAATATTATTATTTATTAAACACTTAATTTGTATAGAAATTAATTATTAATTTTCATTAATTATTTAATAATTATTATCATAATCAAATTCTAAACAATATTACACGAAAAAAAAATAATAATTTTTAATCATTATTATATTCAACCTTACATAACGTATAAATTTGCCCGTATAACTTTAATACGAAAAGAGAAATAACCGAAAATATTAATTTTATTATCAAAAAATTTGATCAAAACGATTTGCGGTCTCAGATTGCACTAAAGCTTCAATTAATAAAAATACAATTTTTCTAGTTAAAATTTTATCAATTCGGTATCGTTTACTTTTATAAATTTATTAGGTATAATCTCTTCTAATTTTTTAACGCGTGTTCGGCTAAAATTTTTGTTTTAATTTTTTTTTTTTAGTAAATGCTTTTGTTTTCATTTTTTTTTCTGTTATTTTGCTTAATTAGGTTGAATAGCTGTATTAAGACAAATTTTAAAGGTGTTTTTTTTATTTTTTATTTTTTGTTATGTTCAGTAAATATTTAAAATCATAATTATATATAAAATATAATAATTAGGTATGTAGGTATGTCGTACATATTTTGATGAACGTTTTTTCCCATACTTTTTTGTTAAATTTATTATTCCTAAAAAGTTAACGAAATTTTCATTACTTCGGGCTAATGGAATATATAAATAGTGCCAAATCAACAATTAATTTATTTGTTGTTTTGTCGATATTATTTTAAGTAAACTTCTTCAACTATATAGGAACCTTAAATATGCCCATTATTAGTTTCGTTCAAAAAGTTTATTTTGCTTATGATTTTTTCAATTCAATTGTAAAATAATTTAAGTTAAATGTAATGACATATAGTTTTACACTAAATGCCCTCTGCAATATTAGTTATTAATTAGTGTTATTAGTCATCTTATATGATTTTGTAGAACCAAAATAGTATACGTTGGATTATGTACTTAATGTTTAACAATTTTATTTATAATTTTTTTTAAATTACTTACTTTGAATGAAAGAAAGAAATTATGTAACCATACCCTTAGAATTTGCAACATTAGAAAACTAGACTAATTGCTGGTTGCCTTCAATAATCTGTTTTTTTTTTATTAATTAATGTGTACATAATTTTTTTTTCAATTTTACTTTTTCATATTAGTTCAGCTCTTATTAAATCCACGGTATTGACGTTTGTCTTTTAGTACGAGAATCGTCAAGTGAATATTAATTTGGTGATTTGGGGAAATTTGTAATCAGTTTGACTATTATCTTAAAATTTTTACAAACAAAAATTAAAATTACGTAATTCTTTCATATTTAAAAAGGTGCTTTTTTACCTGTAAGGCTTCACATTTTGATAACTCAATAATAACAAAAACGCTTCACATTTTGATAACTCAATAATAACAAAAACAAAATTCAGATTACAATATTTATTCGTGAATAAAATGATCAAAAGTTAAAAAAAACTTCACAATTCAAAAACTAATACAAAATTTTCTTCAGTTTCTCTAAAGATAATATATGTGTAACAAAACAAACTGCAAGATTCGCTCAGATGATTAAAAGCTAAACAAATTAATTTTGAAATAATATACACTTTAAACTAAAATACATAAAAATTTGCTTAAGCCATTTACATATAATAAAGCATTGAAAAACTCCATATTATTTTTTTTTGAAATTCATTTTATATCTGACACACTTCTATATTTTTTTCTTTTTTCAATTAAATCGATTTCTAAACTCATTTCATATCGTAAAGTTCAAACAACAACTTTCACAATTAGTCTTACATAAAACAATATGTTAAATATTTCAAGCTTTATTCTCTGTTAGTTATAACAGATTTTAAAAATCTTAAATACTTCTAAGTTTTTATTTCTTTATAAAACAATTCAATAAATAATTTCAATATTTTTTTTTCCTAAAAAAATTTAACACAAAAAAAAGAAGTGATGCGTTCAACTAAGAGTATAATTAATTATTGATGGACTTATATTTATATTATATTTATACAAAAATTGCAAATGAATAAAAATTCTAAAAAATGTGGAGAATAATATCGTCTATATATTATGGTGAGGGTAGCTTGTCCGGTTTTTTGTGATAATCTAACAAGATCATTTTAAAAGCCCAAAAAAGAAATCGAGAAATCATTTAAAACATACACATTTAATAATTTTTCACAACACGAATTTCTAAACTTGTTTTTTTCTAATAATATTGCTTATAAAAAATTTGGTTTTGATTCATTTTGTGATGGGGGTCCATTAGACTGTCTGGACCATGGCTGATTATTTCCCTGCAAAAACAAACATTTAAAAAATTTATTTTAATCCTTATATAAAAAAATATTTACTTGGGGGCCATCCCCAGCTCCAGTATTGGAACTGCCGCTCGAATTATTATTACCGTTTTGATTCATCCAAGACAAAAAACCCCCATTTTGAGGTGTGTTCTGGGAATTATTTGAATTATTTGGGCCACCACTGCTATTGTTTCCAAATGTCTGTAACATAACATATTATGTGAAAAAGTGATTTCGTTATTTTTTTAATTTTAAACGTACTTTGCTAGCTGGATCTTGATTTTGGTTTTGTAAATTTCCAATCACCCCCCACTGACTTAAGGCTGCCGCGACAATGGCCGGATTCATTGGTAATGTATTTAAATTTAATCCAACACCTAATGGATTATTCATGTTATTTGGTTGATTTGATGGATTTTGCCCACCAGGATTGATCCCTAATGCTTGCAAGTTGGGCATGTCTAAATTTCCGCGATTATGGTTACTCCAAGCACTATTATTTAGTGGTGGATTTTGCATGTAATTTCCACCACCAGATCCACTTCCAGAATTACTGCCACGATATGACATGTCACTGTTACCACCACTTCCCCCTCTATTCATTGAATTCGGTAATATCCGATCATCCATGTTGTTGTAGCCACTCATACTACTGCTTCCCATATTATTGCTTCCGCCGCTTCTACCTCCGCCATAGCTGTTTCCGCCCATGTTTCCACCACCTCCACCACGATAAGACATCATTGAATTATTAAACCCATTATAATTATTATGATTATTGTTTCTGTTTTGATCTGTTTTGGGAGCAGCATTTGAAACATGAACTGAAACACCTAAAATATTTAATTAAAACAAAATAATCTTAGTATACACTTTCTTAGTATACAAGAAATTCATATTGAAAAATTACCTTTTACTATATGATCCTCCCCACATAATGATTGAGCCACTTCGGGATCTAAGAAAGTGACAAAACTAAATGCACGAAATGGTTTCGGTATAAAAACATCTGTAACTTCACCAAATTTAGAGAAATATTCACGTAAATCTTCAGCAGACAAATCTTCTGTGCAACGTCCAACAAATACTTTACATGGCACCTGATGTGCCATACCCTGTTAAAAAAGAATGTTTGATTAGCGTTTTTTTTTTTATATAAAAATTTACCTTTGAGTTTGGAACTTTCACTTCACACCAACGACCATCAATTAAATGTCTGGTTGCTAATACACGCATTTGTGCTTCATATGATCCAAATCTTATGAAACCAAAACCTTTGGACTGGCCAGACTTAACATCTTTTTTTATCTGTGCCATCAATACCTCACCAAATTCTTCAAAATGTTCACGCAAACTTTGTTCTGTTGTCTTCCATGGTAGACCCAAAACAATCAAATCAGTACATCGCAAACGAGTCTCAATACGTTTTGTTTTAGCTGTTGAATTCTCCAAATTATCATCGCTTTTACGTTTATTTTCTAATGTAAAATAAAAAATCAAATTAAAAAATGGTAAAGAGACAATTATAATTTTAATAAGCACCTTTTGGAAAAACACAGATATAAGATATAGTTCCCCAACCCTCTCCAGACGGAGCATAAAAACGACCCTCATTTAGGCGAATACCACGTGTTGCTTTTGTTTCTGCGTTATTATATTTGAGTCCACACGCACCAGGAAATTGAGCTTGTAAAGTTGAAAGCAATAAAGTTCCATCCTCTTCACTAGGTAATTCTATCGGATCCTCACCTTCTTCTTCAATAACTTGAATATAATCAACAGACATGATTTGATTTAACTAATCTTCGTGCCTTAAAAAGTCAATTTAATTTGGCGAAGTAATTGTCAAAACTAAGATATTGAACTTTCGCCCTTAAAATTTTTAAATCTTGTTTTTGTTGAACTAGTGGAATAATAACTGTGAAATATAAAATATTAATTTATTCAATTTAACAAATATGTAAATCTAAATCAATATTCGACATCAAAAATCCATATGTAAAAGAAAAACATTTGATCAACAAAACACTAACACACATTTAAAAATAGTAACTAAATTGTAAAATTAGTAATATAAGTAAATTTGCTTTTTCCTAGTTATATATAAGTTGCTAAAATTTAAAGCTCTTTGTTCAATTTTTATTTATTATTAGCGTAAAACAAGCTTTGATTATTTTAACATGTGAATTTTTGTTTGGCTTTAAAGATTTCGAATGGCATAATATTCAGATAGACTGTATTGGCAAATAGGCAACTATTATTTAGGTATGTATACAAGTTTAAAATAAATGGGTAGGTACCTACTTATATCTAGGTAGATAGGTTTACCTAACACTCAACATCTTCAAATGTCGCATTTAGACAAGCTACCTTATATATTTCATATAAAATATTACAATAGTTATTTTTAAAATTTAAATTATTAAAATAATTATTAAAATTAAATTTAGTAATATAGAGTGGCTAGGTCAATATACATATTTGAATGTCTTTTTTGATTTGTTGATGGCTAGGTACTTAATCATGACTACAATTAAATTTCACAAAATTCATTCTTATGTTGAAGATAAGGAAATAATTAAGTTTAATTATTTTATTGTATTAATTTAGTTTAATTAATTAAGTATCCTATCGCGATTGGTCGGTACTCATACCAAAATGAATAATGAATGTTTTTTTGAGTAAAAAAAACTCTCATGGTGTCATATTGTGGCAGATTTGAATTTTTGTTACATATTCATGGTACCTACCCTGATTGATAATAAGAATAACATAGGTACAAGGACAACTTTTGATTGTCCAAATCTCTAACCAGTTTTAATTTTAAAATAAATTTATTAACATTAAAAGCAAATATTAAAACATATCACTAATTTAAGCCAAGATTTAGGGTAAAAAGTATTAAGAAAAATCATAAATTTATAAATCAAATCACCTCTCGCTCTCTTGCACTCAAAATATTAACACCTTAACACTGTAAACAAAAATTTCAAGTTCAAATGTTCAACACACTCAATTATTAAAAAATTTTTATAGTTCCTTTTAAAAGATAGTTATAGTATTATTTGTTTTTTTTTTTTTGTTTAATAGTTAATATAAAAATCCACACACTTTTAATTCAATTCAATTTCAACAAATCCTCTGTCATACCTGCAAAATAAATTTTAAATCATTCAAACTCAATTGTTTTTTTTATCTTATAAATTTGTTTAGTTAAATTTCTAAAGAAATTTTCAGTACAATTTTTTCAGTTGAAAAAAAAAAATAAACATTTATTTTAAGTTAAATTTATTATAATAGAAATTGTAGTAGCATCACTTCCAATCCTGCACGTAATATGAAGGTTAGAACTCCAAAAAGCTAGATGCTTTAGAGTTCTTTAAATAAAAATATTGTTAGAAAAATCATAAAGTTTGTGTTAAGAAATGCGGTCAGAATCGGTAACGAGTTCCAACTCAAAATCATGAGAATTTTTCGGTCTAAAATATCTGTATGGTGTATATATTTAACTATACCCTTATAATATGTATGTAGGTACATAACTATAATGTACATAAATTATAAAGCAGTGATTACAGATAAAAAAATAAAGGTCATTTCAGAATTGGGAAAACTTTTGTTTTTGAGAAAATTATTATGCGTATTCTGAAATTTTAGCAAGTTTGGTTGTGCTACACAACTTATGAAAGATAAATATAAGTACAATTAATTTACATTTACAAGCTAGCTTACTTAAAAGATAGTTTAATAGTTTAACTTCCATTCAAATGTTCTTTAATTTGATAAATTTCGCTTTCGCTCTGTTTTCACAATAAAAAACATTCTTTCACTTCAACAGTAAGAAAAAAACAATGATTTTAAATTAATTAAAAAAGTAAATTTACAATTTTTTCTTTATAGCCTCCATTGACGAAATTTTAATTTGTAAAAAAAACCTTTTTGGATTTGGATTATTCTTTCGTGCACAATAATTTGCAAATTTGACGCTTGTCGCTTTCTATTCCTAATCGTTTTCAATAAATTGGTAAATTATGTATGTAGTCTCTAATTTATTTTTTTGTGTCGTTTGAAACAACCACAAAAAAAATAAATCAATAATTTGTGGCTGGTATTGTATAAAAAATTTTCTTTTCAATTTTTACCAAGTAAACGAAATTTATTTTCTTTTTAACTTATATAACTTTGATGATATTATATAATGCAATCACAACATCCGATATTAAAACAGTCAAAAAATTTATATTAACTTTAATAAAAAAATTCTATATCTCCTCATTCAATTATTATGCACTTAACCACACAAAATTCCACATCGCACTAGGGTTGGACAACCTTAATTGTCAAAAAGCTGTCCACACTACAGAAATTCAAAATAGCAAATTTCATGATAGCTGTCATTCTATATTCACAATTATCTATATTGTGGAATTTAATTATTAATTACCTCGTTCAGATTATAAAAGAATAATATTTTTTTCTTCCAACACATTATAGAAAATCGAATTTACATTTATATTAACATGTTTTCTGATGACATATTTTTTATTAAATACATTTATCATTCATCAAAAAGTTTTTCATGTGTGTTTGATACACAGTCCATGTACGTTCACACACTCAAGCTTTTATCAAATGTCATCAGATTTAATAACATCTATAAACAAGTTTTGATGTGTAAACACTGACTTACGTTTTTGCTCTACACAAATTTGCGCGTATTTTTTTTGCTTTCGAATATAAAATTGTATTTTATGTAACGAACGCAGGAAAATTTCAGTTTGCAATTTTATATAACTGAATTATAATTATTTATTAATGTTTTTCAATCAGCTTTGATCAGACAGTTGGAGAAAACAAAACTGTGCTAATACGGATAACATCTATATCATGGATAAAGTTGAATTTTTAAAGAAAGACGCAGTCTGACCATTTTTTTTAATACTCCATCAGACAAAAATAAGATAGAATAATGAACACATATATATGTATGTATGCAGATATGTAAAATCACAAGAGGTGTAACTGTGAATAAACAACAATTCAGAGAAGAACTTGTGCAAAAGCAGGTAAGATAAATTTAACAAAGAAATTTTACTAAACGTAATGAGATTTGCTATAATATATAATTACCACGAAACAGGGCACAAAACTGTCGCTAGAATTCTGTTATGAATAGTCGGCCTAGAAACAATTACTTTGCAATAAGCAAATATACACATTCTCATAAATACATAAAATTCCAGAATGGATTAGATCTCTGTTCAAGAATAAACCCAACAGCTTTGTACACTCCGCTTTTTACTGCGGACAGTTTTAGATTTTAAAAAAATATATTTATATTATTATAAAAATATACAATTTTTCTATAAATTTAAGAACTATTTTATAAACAATAACTATTTAATTAAAATTATAATAACAAATTATAAAAATATTCAATTGAAAACGATATTAAATAATGGTTAGAATAGATTTCAATTTATTAAAATATGTGGGTTCCTATCTACTTAAAAATAAAATAAGCTACATATTTAGCTTTCAGCACCTCATTACTGACTTGATCCAATCTGACATTTCTATTTTGATAACATTATCCTTATCATGATCTTTCTTATGGAATACTTCTGCCAATATTTAAAAATATTACTTATTTTTATTATAATGTGTTTTCTTAAACTAAATTTTAACTTACGGAAAGCTGTAGTTAAATGTAAAATAGCTGATGCAAAGTCACTTAATCTTAAAGTACCATCTTTACGAATATAACGGTGCATTAAAACATTCATAATATCTGTTGATAATTGAAAACCCACATCACAAAGCGCATCTCTTAAACGTTCGGCTCGTAGAACTCCTGCCTTTTCTTTCGAATAGATTTTAAAAACACCTTGCCAGGCTTTTAAATTTACCATAAATGTTTTAAACTGATGAAAATTAATTCTTCCTGTTCCAGATTTCTAAATATTTCATATTAAAAAAAAACAAGTGAAAAAGTCTAATTTATTGTAAAATGAAAATGCTTTACATCTTGTAGTGAAATAATTTGTCTGCAAATATCAATGTTCGCACAGCCTTTAATATAATCATTTGGTAAACATGCTTCTAATAATTCATGTAATTCAAAGCAATTAATAGTCCTGCATAAATATAAAATGCAAAAATATAATTTTAATGATTGTTAATTCATAATTTATGGGCATACTTATTTTCATCAGCTAATTGCATGAAAACAGGTTCATATTGACATTTTTTCGCCTTAGAGCTATCAGGTTCATTTATTAAATTTAATGGTGGAAATGGATCTAATAACATCATTGTTTGAGTCTCAAGTTGCGTTAATCTTATTGAATTTCCTAAAATTCGTACCGTGAATAATGCTTCTTCTCCTGGCTCATAAGTGGTTGCCATTAAAAGATATCGTCCTACTTCTAAACTACAACGCAAACTAACGTGCCTTGTGTTGCCGTAATCTGAATTTATAAAACTAATTTGATTTTTGAAAAAATCTTTTGGTACGCATTCTGAAAGTTTTGTTTTGACTATAAATTCGAAAAAAAATTATTAATAAATTTATTATTTATTTATAGGTAAAGAAATTGATTTACCTGTATTCAATTTGTACATTGTAAAGCCAATTACTTTTGGTTCGATAGCAGTATGCTGATTCAATGAAATGACAATATCTTCTTTTTCTTGTACAGTAAGGAGCAACTGTGGGTTTATATGAAACGATTCATGATTTCTGCAACCACCAGCTGTAACACCTCTTCGCCACTGTCCCTGGTACATTTTCATTTGCCACCGTTTAGGTCTATCTGATAATGATATCTCATCTTTAGCTGTGTCTGTGTCCAAATGAATACATTCCAAAAATGTAAATGATTGAGTGAGAACTAAAAACGATATCCTAAAAGAACATTTTACGTTCATATTAATCGTTGAAGTCTACGGCTTCAGTTGAATATAAAGAGAAACTTGTCTACTTTATTCATTTTATTTACCAAAATTCACCAACATCTAGTTGTCCTAATAATCTATCACGTTCTTGTATAGATACTCGATCCCATGATTGTGACATAGCCGACCATTCCCCATTATATCCAGTTTTAGTACCAAAAGTTTCACTTGCAAGAGGATCCTTTAACCGAACTAATTGTACAGCATCTCCTAATAATGTTTCGACCTAAAATTAAAAAATTAAATTTTATTTGGCTAGTTGTATTAGAAAAATTATAATATTTAATACTTACCTTGTCTAATGAACACACTCTGTAATTGACATTAAAATAAATTCCATTTGGCAGTCTTTCTGGAGTACTTTTATATTGTCCATTACTTGTTGTGGCCTGACTTTTATTTGAAATACATGTAACAATGCATGTCGTTTCTAAATACAGCTTCAGTTGTAGCGGGCGAATAAAATCATTTCCATTTCTAATATTACATACTTCAACAATACCACCTAATAAATCACTCAAACCATCTGATCTTGTTCCGTATTTTAATGCTTCATATGAACCATGTAATTTTGCTACAGCTTTTTCAAGTAATGATGCCCAAAAACAATTTGATTTTTGTGGCTGAAGAAATGCTAATTTACCGTTAATTGTTGGTAAACGATCATCGACTAGAACTTCAACCCATTCACCGCACCACCATAAACGAAATCTATAAACACCGCATGAATTATTAACATTTTGATCAGCTGGTACAACTCTATAGTATAAATTTTTTAATGAATATAATACACCTAAACAAGAGACTAGCCAACGATCACCCATTTTACCAGGGCATATATCGAAATTTTCCCCTTCAGACATAAACGTTCCATTTGATGATATTTCTGGTATTCGTTTCCATTGAAATGTAAAAGGTGGTGTTTGATAATAAAAAACTGATGTTTGTACAGCTGGAAAATCAGGATCTTCCCAAAGATAACTTTTTTTTTTGCAATCCGATTTTATTCTTTCGTATTTCGAAGTCATTTTATTTGAAAAACATGTATAAATGTAATTTTGTTGTTTCAATAATAAAAAGATTTTATAAATCCAGACTGCTCTACTATTTAGTTTACAGCGTTTAAATATGTGTATTTAAGAGTACATATATCAAAAACATTCCGAAGAATGTGATTAAGAAAGTTAGGTTCTGAAATGAAAATTTATATTAAATTCATTAGAAATTAAAAAAAAAAAACACAAATTTAATATGTATTTAAAATTTTTATTTTTAATTTAAGATTCTTTAAGAAGAAGGTTCAGAGCTAGAGTCGGTTCACCCACACATCAAAATAAAAAATTTTAATTATGTTAATTGCTCATGTATTGTGTTAATTGGATTCTGTTTTTTGAAGAGTTCAATAAGAAAAAATTCTATAAAAGTAATACAATTAACAAGATCACAAGAAGATGACTAAGAAACAAGAAAAAGCCGATAATTGAGTTTAATATTCAAAATATAAGAGTTTTTAGATAAATTCGGTTCTTGCAATGAAATATTGATGTCGCTCAATTATACCGTCACTTACCGAGCAATTATTGCATTGAGCCTTACCGTTATCTACATGAATTTTTTTGTGTGGTCAGCAACATAATCGACTGGTCTGTTTAAAATTTCATTTCAAAAATTTTACGTATATAGTATTCTAAATTCTTTTTACTTTGTTATTGTGAATAACTGATTTGATTCAAAATAGTTCATGATACGCCGCAATAAGCACGTTGATATACGGAAATTAATTTTAATGATTTATAGTAAATATTCGTTTCTTAAATGTAAAATTCTTTAAAAATGTAAAAAGTACAAAATAACCAAACAAGAAAATTAAGAGATTGTTAAAAATTTATTTGATTAAGAGGAGAGCGTCTTACTTTTAGATAGAATTTATCATTTATTTCTAATTACGAAATTAAACTATAGAATTCATTTAATACACAGTTTACCCATAAGATAATGCATGCCACTTTGCGCTACTTAAAAACGTACACCAAAAGTTTTGCATTTGAATGCACCGTAACCATTGTTTCATAAAATTGTTCTTGCTTTTTTTTTTTATATTTAAAATAATTTCTTGATTTTCAAAATGAAAATTTTAAATAAATTTTTTGTAAGAATTCATTTATAGTTGGAATTTTTTATTGTAATATAAATTTCTTTTAGGTCTTGGATTACATACATAGCTGTACAGAAAAGTTTGTTTCAGAAACATATACATACGTACATTATGCATATTGTATGTGAAATTTATTTAATACCACACTACTTGAATGGATAAATTTATTCCTTAATAAGTTTTATTGTGCTTTTTACTTAAGTAATGGGAACTTTTAATTTTATTGTAAAGCAAAATAATTTTATATTATTAAGTGAATTCTTAATTTATAAAATGTATGTGAGAAATGGAATAACGTTATTGTATTTTCATGTTAATGGATGTGAAAAAAAATTTAACATTCATAATTGAAAAGTATAATAATTTTTTTCAATTTAAATATGGTTTTAAACGGTGGGTTTAAAAGATTTTAACATGATTTTGAATTTAGTAGTAAAAGCGTCAAGAATTTTGCAGATATTAATAGTAAAATAAACCAATAAAGTTAACTTGGAGGGCGGCTGATTTTAAATCTGGTTGAGTTTTAAAGTAATTTTTTTATTGGGCTAACTCATATTAATAAATTTTGAATTAATTTAAAGAAGTTGTTAAATTTTTGGGTTGACTACCTTCTTTCATTTACCTTTAATTTTGTTTTTTTTTTTTTAATTTCCTGATTTTTTTCATTTCTTACAGACTTAACTCCGATTGTAACTGTTTGTTACAGTTGCGTTTAGAACTAAAAATATTAAAATGTATTTGAATTATTTTAGAAAAATTTTTGAAAGCCATACCGCATACTAAAATTTGACAAACTAGAAAAAGTAAATTACTAGATTAAAATTTTTGGAAGCCATACTGCAAGCTAAAATTTGACAAGCTAGACAAACAAGAAGAGTATTTTATTGGATTAAAATAGGCATATGGTGAGCATAAACAGTAGCGTAGCGTATGAATTTTATAAGCAAATATTTTTATGCAACCGAATGGAAATAGTTTTGGTTTAAAAACACAAGTGGCTTGAAAGATTCTGTTCCGAAGCATTTGTTTACTTCATAACTTTTTGCTTAAAGATGCAATCGTATGAGTAGAGCAGTTCTGTTTTAATTTTCTTGCCTAGTGTAGTGTATTGAAATAGCAAAATTACTAACACACTGAAAACTTTGATGTAAAATTTTTATTTCAATAAGAACTTGTGTCCCATTTTCTATGCATATAAAGTTTATCTTCTTATACATCAATCCTCATATATATATTTATGGGCAGCCCTATACTTACAGATATTGTAATAGTTTTATTCAAATTTAAAATTTCAAATCAGATAAGGGTTAATGACCCAATTGCTATTTCAAAATTAATATGGTCCTATGATACCAAATCGCTTTTATTACACTGGAAATACTATGTATGTATATGCATAATACCAAATGTACGTGGGCGTAGGATTTTACAGTTTATTTTTGGCACTTATCTTTTTTTTTTGCTTTTCATTCTTTATCGTTATTATTGGTTAAATATAAATGTTGTACATTGTCTTTTATCACCTTTTTTTTTTAAATAAAAAAAACAAAAATTCATTCTTCTTCACGTTAAACACGGATTTAAATATTTTGTGAATATTTTTTTTTTGTGCTTTATTATGGCTTTGATTCACGTTTTAATTATTTCTTGTTGTCTTTTCATTCCTTTTAATTTAAGAAATGATGTGATTTGAATTTTCAATGTCAAAATTTAAAAGTAAAAAAATTTCTGGCTTTTTTTTTTAAGCTATTTGGATATTGCAACTTCTACAAAATGAAAATCATTTATGATTTTATAATAACGATTGAAATGTACATATGTGGTTGCAGAAGTTTAAATCAGTTTTATGAATTTCCATCCAATCCAAATTTCGATTCAAAATAATGTCAACCGGAAAACATGTACAAATACAAGTATTTTCAGTTTTTCTTTTTTTTGGTAGATTTATGCATTATGTTGCCTATTTACAGGTTTTTTAATTCGAATTTTAATGAATTCTAAATCGGTTGATGAGGAAAAAATTATTGCATGTGTTCAAATGAATCATACAATAATGTAGTTCCTAAAATGGATTTTTAAAATGGTGGTTTAAATTTAACGAAGAATAAATTTGTAAAATAATTGAAAATTAACCTGTACTAATAAAAATATATTCATTTTTTAGTGTTATTAAAATGCAAGTAAATGGGAAATGAAGGTTCATTTAAGACAAGAAATGCATACATGTAGATTGTTCTCATCCAATAGGTGCAGTGCTTAAAAGAAATTTTTACAAATAGATCACAGTGAAGATTTTTAGGTATCTCAGTTACTCTACGGGGTATACATAGGTACTGCCTCTAAAGCAAACGCAATTTTGTTGACTTTATAAAACCAAGAAGATCAGAAATTATTTTTTAAAGTATAAAAAATTATAACTAACATCAGATTGCTGAATTGATTCTTTAGATTTAGTGTTGTTTTAGAACAGTTTTCTTTTACACGTTAGCTCAAGCTGTAAGAGCTCTCAAATATAAGAGATCTCACAATATATTTTGAAAAATATTTTACTTTACCATTTTGTATTTCTTTTAAAAATTTTTATAAGTTTATTATAATTGAGATTTAAAATAGAATTTTAAGATTTGGTGTTACAAGAATATTATAATTATGAATAAGTTATTTACGGTTCAATTATTTTATTTATTTTTCTTTAAATTTCATCGTTACCATTATTTTTAAAGCAAAATTTTTAAAAACAAAACTTAAGCATTTTAGTTAACAAGATTTATTTTTTATAAATAACGATGTACTACATTAATTAATGGCTAACTCATTAATTTTAATTTAAAAAGTTTTATTTTTTTTTAACTTAATATCCTATAATATTGTATAGTATAGATTAGAAAGATGATGAAATGAACTCATTATGTCATCAATTTTATTCTGTTTTACCTTCAGTCATTGTTATTTTCATAATAATTATCGTTGTTTATTTTTATATAAAAAAATTTCAAATTTCAAATCATCTTTTTATAATAATTTGAGTTAAAAATAAAATAAATGTATTTTTTCTTCTTTATTTATGTATCAAAAGTTCAATTATTATTCATCAATCTGAAAGATTTCCATGACGTACAATGTTGGTTTAATAATCATAATGTGATTCTACATTGACTTTTAAGACAGCACTTCAATTTATGAATTTTATTTTTTTCTTTTTGGTAATTTTTTATAAATTCACAAAATTTTAAAATTTAATGTTTTCAATTTCTAAATTATAAAATCTATTCTTTTAAAATGCATATTTTTTTTTATTAAGTCTATAGTTTGATCGTTATTCCATTGTTCGAACTAAGTGCATATTTATTAAATATTTTAATAATTTTTGTAATTTCCTACATTTTGTTGCCTTAAATAACATACTTACATTATAAAAATTAAAAGTATATATACATATATTAGAAATAAATGCATATAATTTATAATTTTATAAAAAGTAAAATTACAGAAAAAATGTTGTTCACATATTAGTTGTTTCTGGTCATTTAACTGTCCATCTGTAAAATGTTTACATTATTTTTTAACTTTCCGATTACTGTCTTTCAAAGTCTTAATTTTTTGATAATATTTATTGCAATGACAATTTTTATACTAATCACAAATTTGAAAATTTCAGGCTTAATTTCACAATAATGTTTGTCTAAATCTCATTTTATTCAATTGATTAGAATCTTTGACTTTAAAATTGTAGTAATATGAAATCTTTTCATAAAACACTGTATATTGCGATAGTGACAACTGCTCTATATTTATGTTCATAAGCAAATGTTTCTAATTTAGTTTGCTTACAAATATCCGCAATATAGCGAAATTAGTGTATGAGTAGCGTAAAATAAGTAATAAAAAATATACTGCATATTCATCACGTCATTGCATTTCGCAGTACGTAATTGTTTTGCAGTATTGCGTTGCTAAAAATCTCTATGGTATTAATTCACATAATTCATCTTATAAATTGTTATAACTGAATTTTGTATCAATACAGAAAAAAATA